GATGAAGCTAAAGATGAATCCATCCTTTCCAGCTGGTAGATGGGAGAAGGCCCATTAAGTTCTTTAGGTTCATTCCAAATTATCTTTACCATTGTGTTGTTTACTCCTTCAGGATGGGGGGCATCGAGTTTTCTTGGAGCTGTGTATAGATAAAAAAATTGTTACCGATGCATCACTGTCCAGACTGCATTATTTTATTTATTTTATTACACAGTTTGTTATTTTACTTACATGAAGCTGAAATAACATTGCATCTCCTAAAGTATCAGCATAAGATAGACTTATTTTATACTACACAATAGATTGTGTATAAGGGATCCTGTTTCAGTTTCTGATCTACTAAACAATAAATGCAAATCTCCACAGAACCCCTCTGCTCTGCTATGGAACTAATGGAAAGCCCCACAGGCTGCATCCACATAAGCGTGGATGTTTGGTTCCCCAGAGACAAAACATTGTCCATGTTTAGTTACCTGGGGACAACTAGCAGTGGCATACCCTGTTACCTCTAATTGTTCCCATAAATGCCTGTGCCACATGCCCTCTGATGTGCAGCAGGTTACCCCAGGTGGGATAGAGGAGGCTGGGGCCAGCACTGGGCTGACCCCAGCAGCTTTACCTGGGCTCCTGGGGCCTTCTGGGACTGCAGCAGTGGAGATCCTGCCACTTGAAGCCTGGCTGGCAGCTGGAGTGTGGCTCCGGGTGGCCAGACTCTGGTTTTGAATGGCGCACACTGCTGCCACAATCACTGCTCCGCCTTTTTTCTTTTTTTCTTTTTTTGGCATGGGTGTTTTTTTACTCCTGGATATCGAGGGGTCAACTCCCCCTCCCCGCCCCCCTCCCACTGCATTGTTCCCTTGTTGAATGTGCGGTATGTGGCACATTCAGAACAGCTGAAGGTGCAGTATTTTTTTGCAGGGTCACATACTGCACAGCCTTTCTCGTTTGGACATGGCCATAATATTTAGAGATGCCTACTCTCAACCCAGGAGCACTGCCTCATTTGATTCCTCAGACATGGTTCCCTATTGTGCTTTGAACACAGAAAATGGGTTATATAAACCCTGTGGAGGCTTAAAAATCTGAAGTACCTCCTCCATACAAACAGAGTTGATGTTATCTCCATGATTAAACTCTTAGGTTTAAATCCTGCTTTCCTTTCTCTAGGGTTCCTTGAAGGCATATGCCCCATAGAAAAGGCTCAATAAAGAGCTAGAACCCAAGGTCAGAGGAAGAATTTGACTCCTTAACAAGGTCCAGATATATTAACATCTTGGTACATAATATTACAAAACATTTGCCACTAGATGAACTAATCCAGGACAGAAGAAACACAGCAGAGTACTGGGGGCCAGTACATGAGTGATTGCACTCTATCATTAACCTCTCTGTTCCTCATAGTATGTCATTCAATGAGCAGTCTTCATGTACACTGATAATTGCCAACACAAAGGAATGTTGCTTTGACTTCCTTGCCTGAAAACTGGTTTGCTGCAGGACTCTATGAAGCTGAAACAAGATTGCATCTGAAAGTATCAGCATGAGATAGAGTTTTACACTATTACAATGGTTTCCCTATTACTAGAACAAACGGATGGGTCAATCTATAGTTGAATTATGAAATACATTCTTTACCTTTTTAAAAAACACTGTACAGTAAGCCACTGGAGGGCAGCATGACCTGTTTGGATAATGAAGTGATGGTCATGCAGGTGTGAGAGGAACTGATCAGCAGCAAAACAGTGAAACTAGCTATTGTGCATGGATGATGTACAATAGGTTCTTTACTATTTATGGAATCCATATTCATTTTATATTGTTAATAAGCCCTTTTCTCTCACTTTCACTGTGACATTAATACATATTTAACACCTAAAAGTTCACTTTATGCACAAGTAAAGAGACAGTGGAGAACATGTTAAAGTTTGCCTGTTTCCATTATGACTTAGTATATGCCACCAAACTCTTTTCAGGAATATTATTATAGGGACTAAAATGCAGGTCTTCAGAATCTTATCTATTGCTTTACAGAATGCTAGTGTATGAGTTCACTGTACAGAGTTTTATTTAAAATGAATTAATAATATCTATTCTTGCCTTTACAGGATCAGTAACATGTTTTTCTTTCCTTTCATTAACCTGTAGGATATTATTATTTCTTTTCTTCCAACTTGATAAATATTCCTCTTGAAGATAATCCCTCCCCACAAACACCAAACACATTATGGGTTGGAAATTCCAGTTTAACCATCATTTATGACTTCACAGTCTAATTAGTATCACATGTTACATTAGAAATTTACCATGTCAAGCAGTGCAGCGTGAGGTCATAAGCTTTCCCTGAATAAGTAGGGCAGAGCATTAGTGAATCGCAGTATTAATGCACAGGTTTAAATAGAACACATGGCTTAACAATCAAAACTTCACCTTTGAAGAGAATTGGTGAATGTCAGCATTTTAAACGTGAACACCAAGATTGAGCCCTTTGGTTTGGCTTACTGATGCTAAAACACAAATACTAAAATTCATTATCCCTAAATTGTACTCAGTTAGCCAACACATAGTCACAGTTATGACAACAACTGTATCTCCCTTAAAAGTCCACCATTAATAAGTGGCAGTTGCTTGGACTGTAATTATGGCATCCCTGCTACCCAAACTTGAAGCTTTTATGGGGCTTATGCAATTAACTACTTAAATGCATCGTAACACTTGCTTCTCTGACAGGGAAGTATTGATTTTTTAATCATTTTCAAGTCTCCTCTAGCACAAATAAATGTACTACAGTTACAGTTAATGCACTGTGTACACGCATTAAACACTGGCATGACACAATTTATTATTTTGTGATATATGGAATAGAAGCCTAGCCTTTCAGAAAGTAACATCTTTGCTATAACATTCGTATTTAAAATACAATGTCCTTGGGACTTGAGAATTCTCTTGCTTGCCCACAATAACAGTATTCTTAATACATTACTACCAAAGTCCAGAACAAAAAAAAGTGAAAATAAATCTAACATTGGACCTTTATGCTACTAAACACTGAAATTAAAAATATTCAAACCTAAAAGATACAGTATACATTTTCCTAAAGGTGTCACTGTGGTACCTGTAGCTACTTGGTGAAGATGAATTGACTATAATTTTACCTATTTAATTTTTTTCAGTCACATTCTGTTAAGACACATCTGTCAAAATAATGAGCTTACTGTATTTTAGTAGATTCAAAGTCACATTTTGTGTATTTTAATTATGTAGTTTTAATGTCTTGCTATATAATACATGCTTAATATATTATTAATCTAAAACAGTATTTAAAAGCCCATGATTGCTCCATGCCACTGTGTAACAGAGGGCACAAAAAAGACCAATAAAGACAGATGGCCCATACGTTTATGTTAAAGTCATATAGCTAAATATAGATGTTGCTACATAGGTCATTACAAATAAGCCTTTCCCATGTGTGTGAGCACACACACACATATGAAGTTGGTAAGTGAAGAGCAGTTAATTCTGTTTTGTTTGAAATAATATCATTTTAGTTTTAGAATCTAAGACAGATGCCAGCATTTCACTCTGAACAGATGGTAATTCCATCTAATAGTGCATCTCTGTATTAGTAAGGTCTGTTGTGTATACAAACAGTAATAAACACTAGGTAAGGATCAAAATAAATTTTAATTGTTGACATTAAATTCTGGCAGCCACGGTTCTAAGGATACAATATTCTTTTCTCAAGTCTGTCAGGTTTACTAATATAAGCGCTATAGCTTTTCCATAGACTACCAGATTCCTGTCCCAATAATAATGTGTTCACACCAAGGCTACTAAATCTTTACCAGTCTATTTGCTTACATAAGTTTGAATGAATAATTCTCAGTGTCTTTCATGTAGATGATTGTGTACCCATAAGTATTACCCTGCAATTAGAAATTTAAGGTTTTCAGGAAGTGCTTGTGCTACTTCAAAAAGTAGCAGTAACAGTAAAGGACATAAATATTTACACTTTTGATTGCTTTCCGTTAGAGTTCATAATGTAACCTATACAAATGAGAGTGGTCATGAACCTCACAACTGTTTTTTGGGGAGAACATTTTGGGAGGCCATCATATTTACTTTAGTTTTATTTAGCTTGCAAGTAAAGGTGGGGACAGAGCCAGACACCCTTCAGTATCCTTACTGCTATTGATCTGCAAGACCTTACAGTTGCTATAGCATGCCCAGTACAAACTCTGCTTTCCAACACACTCCACAGTAAGCCGTCCTTAGCTGCTTTTGGGTAGGGTGACCTATAAATCTAATAATAAATAAATAAATAGAATCAACGTGTCAGCAGTAAATGAGTTAAGAAATAGTGCTTGTGTCCTCCTTCAGAGAATCATTTTAGACCTTTTAGGAGAATGTTTATGACATTTGGAAGGGAAATTTTTATGTTAAAGCAAAATTCAAAGATACCCATAATGGCTGTCAAGAAGCTATATAATCACAACATGCATGTGTTATAATCATATATCTTTAAAAATAGATGTAATATACAGTATTTTTTTAAAAATTCATGAAAAATATATTGCTTCCACCATATGGGACAACCAACGACTCACCAACCGATTTAAGATGCAGCATATTGAGCTGACCATATGTTACAGTGCTGTTGAATGGCTGAGTGATTCATGCCCGTCACATTCTAGTATATCAATTAAAGCTCCTTGAAGTCTGCATGATTTGTGTCTCTGTTATTAAACCCTGCTAATTCATCCCACTTACACATCTGTTATAAATCTCTAGGAGTGCTGCATGATTCATGGCAATCTGTGAGCATGGTACAGCAAATTCTTCTCCTTGTAATTAACAGTAAATTGTTTTACTGCCATGCAATGAATTTTTCAGTTATATTGCAAATGAACTCCTAAATGCACGGTTCTTTCCTAAGAACTGACTTATATCATTAGGCAATTAAAAAGTATTGCTTTGAACCAAAAGCTTTTAATCAAGAGAAATACAACTTAAACACAGCTTTAAAACCATGCAAATTTGACATACCGGCAAAAGAATAATTTGAGCTAATTTCTGCAGTGTAATGTGTGTTCTGCTGGGAGAACAAACAAATAACTTTTGGCTTCCTACTATTTTACTGAGGCTCAAAGAGCAGTTTAACTACAGCTTGAACACTTGGCAAGACAAGTTTGAGCAGATACTGTTTATCTCAGAAGTTACTTAAGTCATCTGTCATTACCAAATTTCTCAGATTACTTTACACTTCTCTAATTGTAAAACAGTGCCTTTATTCTTGAAATAAATAATTGGATAATTAGCCAAGCTGAATCATCAGAGGATTCCAGTGCTGTTCAAGTGTTTTTGTCAAAGGTGAAGCAAATTCATTTCAGCTTTGCCTCTGCAGCTTTCTGAAGAGGCTTTGATTTTTTTTCCCCGTCTACATTCTTGGCAGCAGCCTCAAATTCATGAGTCCATACATCAAGTCAGTAGTTTAACAACAAATGAAATTAAATTCAAAGAAGGGAAACTAATTGAAGGACAGCAACAAAAGTGTTTGGTAATGTGCTTTTTAATATGGCATGCCACATTTGCATGATAATTTTTCCTTTTTAGCATGGAGCAGAAAGTGACTAGCTTAATGAGGGATTATTCACGACAGGAATGAACAAAATGCATTCATAACTAAGAACAAAGATTGTATTATGAAACGAAAACAGGCAACTGCCGAGAAGAAACTGGATGATTGGTTTATGCATTATGAATAAAAAGGTAGAAAAATATTTATATTAGTATTCACTAATGACTATATATACAAGATTGTTGTAATTAAAATTATAAATTAACATATTAAGAG